TGTGCTGTGCTGTGCTGTGCTGTGCTGTGCTGTGCTGTGCTGTGCTGTGCTGTGCTGTGCTGTGCTGTGCTGTGCTGTGCTGTGCTGTGAATCGGTGCAAATCCTGGTCCTGGTAATAAATAAAGCTTCAAAATATCGCAAGGACTGATTGTATTCAGCGTCAAAAATGACTGAACATGATGTTGTCAAAGAGTTCGAATAGACTTTAATAAACATTTCTTGTACCTATACCCTTGTTTTAGGATAAATAATTATTCATTGTTTTCATACAACAGATGCATCCAGCAAGTAGAATTTCAAGGAACATCCGGATTGATCAAATTTGACGAAACAGGACAACGAAGATATGCTAAATCTTATATCCGCGTAATCACGCAAATGGAAGACAAAATTAGCCAAGAAATCATAGGAGAGTGGGACGGCAAGACTGTTTTTATCCAGGAACAGAAGTCCTACCCAAAGCTTCGTGCACTCATCAATGAATATCCACCCAATATCATGGCTCTGCCAAAACTGAAAGAAAAAACTTGTCCTTCAAGTGCCCATATTTGTATGAAGGGAATTCAGTTATCTGGTGGTAAAATGATAACAAAGGAATATTGTTGCTATGGGTTTGCCATTGATGTGCTGAATCTGATAAAAGAGGAAGTAGGGTTCGATCCTGAACTGCAGTTTAGCAAAGATGGTCAATATGGAGTCTTTGATACTGAGAATGGTTCATGGAATGGAATTGTGGGTGAGTTATTAAGAGGTGAAGGAGACATAACTCTCGATTTGTATGTAAGTGCAAGGCGATCAAATGTGTTGGATTTTACCGAACCATACGCTCCGTCGGGAATACGTCTTCTCGTTAAGGAAAATAGTGGCAAAAAATCAGAGATCTATTGGCTTTCCTATCTGAGACCATTTACTTCAAGTGTGTGGCTGACCCTCTTGGGTAGTGTGGGCGTTATGATCGTGTTTTTATGGATTGTAGAAAAGTTCGCTCCACATAGATATCCGGCAAAAATACAAGAGGAAGTTACGATGGACTCCGAAGACAACGATAAAGAATTACTCCAGAAATTCATACCAGTGAACCAAATTTCAGACTATGATTATTTCGAACCAAAAGAAAATACCTTAGACGAAGAAAAAATCGACGAGCAACAAGATATCCAACCAGATATGTATGGGTCGTTTGGACTTGATAACGCTGTATGTTATACACTTGCTTTAGCATTCGGTCGTCCTGCAGACGAAGCAAAACCTTTGCTTAATGGAGCAAGACTTGCATCTGTTGCCTTTGGAGTAGCAATGTTGATGTTGGTGTCAAGTTATTCTGCGAATCTTGCAGCGTTTCTTATAGTTGACGATAAGTACACCTCTGTTACGAGTATTTACGATGACAAGGTAGGCGAATAGGTCAAAAACAATGCAGAGTTTGCTTAGACCAGGGACGGCGGAACAGTTTTTAAAGTGGGGAAGGGCCGCAGTCCTCTCCTTCCCAACTAACCAAATATTAGACAAAATACAAATGTGATTCTTGCAAAAAGTTGTCGGCTCCGCCGTCCCTGTAGACCAATAGGTGAAACTATACATCTAAGGGGAGGGTCCATCTATTGAAGTAAAGAGCTTAAGGTGTAAGATAACGAATCGTAATTTACCTTGGAAACAAGGACATAGCGAGCGGAGGGAAGATGTAACTAAAAACCGTAAAAACCGTAAATTTTCATTTTTCCCCCCACTTTATTGGGATCTCTGTGTATTCGGCGGGAATTTTTGCGCCAAAACGCGTTTGCTCGGTCTCCAACTCTTATGATGTGTGTTCGCTATGTCTTTTCATGGGAATATAGCTTGCACATTGTTTCTTTGCTTGCCACTAGGAATATTCACGAACCGATGCAAGTGAATCAAACAAAGAAACGTATTCCTCGTTAACGAAAACAGTCCATTAAAACTAAAATGGCTCTATTGTTTTTGTCCTCAAAACTTAATCTACTTTAATATGAGGGTTTTGCATGATCACTCGCCGTTGATCATGTTAGATGGCAGAACAATTGAATCCCTTTAATTTGGGGAATTGAATGCTTTACTCATTAATTTACTGCGGTTTATGATTGTTGGCACTGCTTGTCCCATACTTGATTTTATTCCATACACATACGCAAAGCGTACGGTAAAGACTAGACAAATATATTAAATAGATAAATAACTTAGTAAGTATGACAAATAGGAAAAACTACGAAACATTAAACTGCAAAACGATAAGAACTATGGAAACGAATAACTTACATTTGTGTATGAAGGGACGAAACTGCGAGCACCAACTAACTAAGTATTTACATAGAGGGCGTATATAAGGCGTACAAAAGCTCCTAAGGGACAAGACTAAATGACGAAACAATGACGAAAATACTTAGACTGAAACGAGTGAAACAAAAGCTATAGAACACTTATAAACAAACCTAAGACAAAGAGAACTACACTAAAAACTCATTATAGGCTTTTCAGATCTAACAATGATATTCTGCGATCTAGTTCTCGCTGCCGTCAATCAAAAATAATCAGTCGTTACGTACCTTTAATGTTCTTGACTGGAGGCAGTGAAAAAAACAATTTTACAACAAGCTATTGGAATGTCTGAGTTCGCAGAATATCGAAAACCGCAGTAAATAGTTATCTTATATTGCTGCAAATTCGCCAAGYATTCCCAAGTACAATATACCTTTTGCAATAGATTGACACGTGATTGTAACTAGATGGCAAAAAAGTAATTGGACTTCCTTTACATAAAGTTTTTTTTGCTGGATTACTAATGTCGTATCCAAAACCTTTTCAAAAATACTTTTTTCCCTCGTAAGATACTTTCGATTTCAAGATACAAAGAATTTTAAAGTTTGTTTGCCATCCAGCAAAGCCTTCCTCAAGGGACCTTGAGCTGTATTGATTCGTTATCAAAGTCATATACCAACACGTGACCGTTTGCTGCAAAATGCCTATTATTTGTTTTTCCTATTGTTCATGCCACAATATACATTTATGATTTCGCTATTTCAGATTGCACATCCCCCTCCTGGATTTCGTTACGGAACGGTCAAAGGATCTTACATGGCAGACTTCTTCTCAAATTCAGAGAATGCATATATGAGGTCCATGTGGTACAACATGAAAAAACATAATGTCGATACGGTTACAGGAGGAGTAGAGAAAGTACGGAACGGGTAAGTAAACTGTTATAAAAACAGTATGTAAATTAGATGTCATACTAGGTCAGGTGATAAAATTCATGCGGGAGAAGAGAAGATTCGATAGAAAGGAGAAGAAAGGAGAAGAGAGTAGAAGAAAGGAGTGAAATTTAGTACTAGCCGAAAAGGAAAACCTTTTTTTAAGAGAGTCAAAGTAGACAACGAAAGGCTTATTCAAGAGAGAGAAAAGAAGTGCATTCAACACAGAGTATAGCATTCAACACAGAGTATAGCTTTCAACACAGAGTATAACATTCAACAGAGTATAACATCCCAAACAGGGTATAACATGCAGCACAGGGTATAACATTCGACAAAGTATAGCATTCAACACAGATTGTAGCATTCAACACAGATTATAGCATTCAACACAGAGTATAACATTCTACAGAGTAAACCATCCAAAACAGAGTATAACATGCAACACAGGGTATAACATTCGACAGAGTCATTGCATTCAACACAGATTATAGCATTCAATACAGAGTATGACATTCAACACGAAGCGATCCTCATTCAATTCGGAGTACAGCGTCTTTAAACGGACGCAAAAAGTGAAAGTGAATTCAATGCAATGTAGTACCAGCGGAAGTAAACGAGTATAGTAATCATCATAACCATGCGGTATTTTAGTACATAAACACCTACTTCCAAAAGCATTGGGATAAATTCGCATTCAAAGTTAAAGGCCGACATCCAAAAGCCTAACTATTAAACGAAAGATTACCATTTACTCTGTGACCACACCACCCTTGATTTCTTTGCTACCTCCCGAAAGTCAAAAACCAAGAGTAAAACAGTTTTTTATTCTATTACAGAGAACTTGATGTCCTTATAGCCGACCACATCAGCCTCCAGTATGAATCTCTCAACGATCCAAGTTGCAGATTGAAAGTTGTCGGCGATCCTTTTGCAATGTCAGGTGCTGCCATTGCTGTCAAGAAAGGCTCGCCTTGGTTTCCTAAGTTTAATGCTGTTCTACAAAAACTAAAATCAAAAGGACTGACAGACTTTATTCAGAAATTTTGGATCAGTAAGTATAAATGCGTTAACGAGAAGCCGCCATCACAGTTGAAAATACAGGACTTAAGTGGGTTGTTTCTCCAGCTGGCCATAGCAGTAATAGCCTGTTCGTTCGGTACGTTTCTTCATAATATAATCAGTTTTCTCGCGCATGCGTATAAAACACACAAACCCCGTGGTAACAGTATTATTACGAATACTAATACAATGGGGTCTCAACGAGACAAACGGAAAACCAACTTCAGAACAACAGACTGTGTAGAAACTGATGTGTAATGGGTATATTCTACGTATTCCTCCTCCCGGGGGATGAAGAAATCTAGAACACATATCTAGCTTCATTATGGAAGATACGTCGTTTTGAATCGAATTGGTGTTCTGTGAAAAATATGCATTTGAGAGTTTATATTACTTCTGTATGCCTTTTCTGAGTTCAATAGACAGAATATTCATTCTGGTCTCCTTGAGGTACGACCAATACCATATATGGAGTATATAGACACCTTGCATTGATTTCCTAGGGGAATTGTTCCGGGGGGAAAAAAAAATTCCTCCAGGAAATCAATATGCAAGGGGTCTATAAGGCACGGCGAAAAAATGTGTGCCCAAGCAAAACCACAATGCACCATTTTCGCTATCTCAGGTACGGACTTTAAGTTCATGATTAAATAAGGTAAAACTAAATGGATATGTACCTATGATCATTAACATTCTGTACAGACAACAGCAACAATAAGAAAGAAAAAGATATTTAAATAAATATAAACAAACAAAATAAATAAATAAGGATAATAATAATAACGGTAAACGGAAAAAAAAAAACAATAATAATCATATTTACAAATTTATGCTTACAGGGTCCATAACTGTGGGTTTTTTTGAGAGTATATGCGATACAGCTATTTCACGAAAAAAGTTGTGAAGGTTTTTATGCATTCAGCGTATGTTGCATGTTGGTTACCAAACTTGAAATTTAACTTTCATACGTAGATGATTTTACTGATAATGTTAACATTTTTTCATGCAAATAATGTTAACATAGAAGAAACTTTACCAAAGAAAACGCACAAACAATTGCAAAGTTTGGTAAAATGTCATATCGTTGTGACCATTCACTAATTGCTAATTGCATTCCCTTGTTATGCAACATCAACATAGGATAGATTAGAGGCGTCAGAAACATTTCTCTCGCAAGAACCACATTATTAATATCCGGCATGATAGCTATTGATCTCAATTAAGGAAAGTAGTGGCAAGATCGAAAAACATACATATATATGTACCTATCTTAAATAAGATACCTATCTTAATATACAAGATAGCTCTCTTCTTTAGGAAAGTTGACTTTAATAAGCCTGAAGCGAGATGACGTTTTACCCCCGACTCTATACCATAATAGTTTTTAAAATTCTTTCATATTAATTTTTTTGATTCCTTAGAGAATACAGGAACAATAGTCATAATTAAAGAACAAAAGCAATGTGAAAAGGATTATGGTCTAGAGACGGGGGTAAAACGTAATCTCGCTTCAGGCTTATTATCTTTGCATAGCGGCAAGGCCAAGTAGAAAATTTTGCTTCTCAATGAGGATTGCTCCTCGTTCCTTAACTGCTGCTGTAACACTTTTTAGGTCGTCAAGTTGTGTTTGGTGACCGCCCAGCATTGTTAGGCGCTATTGTACTTATATTGCTTCAGCCATAACAATTAAAAAAAAAATAAATAAATAAAAAAACCAGACTCAAAAGCCCAATATTTTCTATATATTTATTGTATAAACTTTGAAATGTCAACTTTGGTTATTTTATAATAATAAAGTTTTTCGATATGAAATGTTGTGCTTTTGTTGTTTTCCTCTTTTTCTTTTTTTCTTCTTCTTTCTTTTCTTCATCTTTCTTCTTTTTTCGTCTTTCTTCTTCTCTTCTCTTCTCTTCTTCTCTTCTTCTCTTCTTCTCTTCTTCTCGTATGCTTCTTCTCTTCTTCTCGTATGCTTCTTCTCTTCTTCTCTTCTTCTCTTCCTTCCTTCCTTCCTTCCTGTGTTATTCTTTCGTTCATTCGTTTTTTCTTTGCCCATTTGTTCTTTTTTACTTTCTCTTTTGTTTGTTAGATTTCTTTCATCAATAATTCCCTTTCACGATTCTCACATTCTTTCTGTGCGCTTTCTTCCCGTTTCCACATTCTTTGTTTTATTCCAGATAAGCAAAAGTCATACCTAGTTGTTATATAGCCGGCAACTGAAGCCGAGAACATCGGTAATGTAACATCGGTAATTTTAATGTAATCTGAATTTATTGTTTATTAATTTATTATTTATTAATTTGTATTGTATTGTACTGTATTTAAACGGGCAAGAGTACCCTCTCTTCCCACACCCCCGGGTCGGTAAGTAGCTTTAACCAAGTAAACCTTTTGTAGAATTTTGACCGTATACATGGATGAATATATTTAGCATTGGAGGACAATGTTTGGCATCTGGTAATGAAATTCATGACATCCATTTACATTAGGTTATTCGGATGGATACGGCTCAGCGATGGGTCCTTGCTTGACTCAAGTTTACCGTAGGACGAATGTCTCAATGGGATTTAACCGTTAACCGTAAAACCCAAATTTAGTCGGTAGGCGTAAAAATTAAAGAGAAGAGAAAAGAAAAAATAAAAGAAAAAGAAAAAAAGAAAAGAAAAGAAGAGAAGAAAACTAACTGCAAGGTGTAAAAAGCCTGGAAAAAAGTTAATCGTAATTTTTAATAACCATGGTTAATAAGCGACTTGAAAGTTATTAGATTTCCTTTTACTTATAAATTTATTAATTATACAGCTTCTCATTAATCCCATATAGGTAACTGTCTAATTATTTTCTTAATTGCACAGGTCGTGTTGATATGGGATTAATTAGGCAGCTATATAATTAATAGGTAATGGGATTTCATGCTCCCCAATCAAGAAATAATTAGACTCGAAAAATTCCTCTGACTGCCAAATTGGACTCGGCCTACGGCCTCATCCAATTTTGTCGGTCCTCGGAATTTTCCTCATCCAATTATTTCTTAATTGGACAGCATGGAGTCCTATTACATATACTAATTCTCTATAAATTACTAATTGTTCGCTTTTTCAAAAGATAATGGAAATCGATGCAGTTTAATTTGAAAAAAAAAAATGAAAATTATTTCTAGAGATTTGTTTTAGCCGTTAAAGAACGAAATTAACCGTTAGCCGGGAAAAAAAGCCACCATTTTACCTGTTAACCGTAGGCGACTAGCTATGTTTCATTCAAATATGGTGAAAAACTGTCTGAAAAGTCAACACCGTGTCACGATATATTATTGACCTTATGATCTGCAAAAAGGTTTTGAAATTTTGACTTTAAATAAACTTAGCGTGGATGAATTTCAGCAGATGCGGGCTTTAGAACAATGTAAACAATAGAATAATTGTAATTTGCCACGCGCATTGTATTTTTAATGCATGGCTGAGTTTCTAGTTTCAGCGGTTATTAGCATCAAAGGACAAATTTGAATCATGAACAGCCATAATGTTGTAGCGGGTGTTTTGGTATGACTAGACTACTTGCTTGGTTGAGTAGAGCCTTTTTCATCGAACATGTACATGCCTGAAGGAAAAACTAGAACATATTAAACAATTTAGCTAGCCGTATATCAAGATAAAAGCGTAAGTTGACAGTTATTGTGAAGATTTTACTGATGTTATGAATTATGTACCATCGTGGATAAACATAACAGAAGTTATGCCATTGTGTGTAATAATGCTAAGCTAAACGTTTTTATTTAAATTGTCTTTGTAATTACCTTATGAATATCTGCTACTGAATTAGCCATATTACTGATTTCTTTTACACATATGCGTCGAATGTTTCTGTATTTATTTGATAATAAGCTCGCTTAGTTCTTGATCGATCATGACATCTACATGTAATGTCTTCATCGTCAGTCACTATTTGATTCTCTCACTCATAATGTTAATTTAGAGCCTAAAGTTTATCAAAGTACAGCGATTTTGGTTTGCTTATTGTAAATATAATAAATATAAAGCTATTATCCTTACATATAGCTATAGGTAGCAGAGTCCTACGTGTATTAAAGTAAGATCCCCTGCTAGGCTACCGGTTTGTTTACATACTATTCAAGTAATGATTGGTTTGCTGAAAGAGCCTTTCTTATTCTTGGTTTTCATGTGACGTCATACACCTATCAAATGTTATCGTCCGCCATGTTGGTGTCGCACGAGCTAATTAGCATATGTCATATAACAGAGAGATGCATGTGTTTTGAAGCGGAGAATATAAATGTCGCGTGATTTTATTGAAAATACAGAAGATAAAAGTCAC